AGTTGTGTGGACTGTCTCTGGACTTTGTTTGGGAGACTACTTTGCTGATCATCCTGATATTGAAGTTGCTGTTTTAGTAAGAAGGCTCCATTGTTGCTATTTCTCCTCAACAAATGGAAAGGAAGTAATTGGAAAAGTCTGGAATGGATTTGATGGGAAATGAGATTTTATTTCAATGTCTTCTCTAAGTCATCTATAGAAGCAAACATATTTTAACTGACATGTTTTTACTTTACCAGAAACAGTAATAATGGGTGATCCTGAAAGGCTTTCTGAATTATTAAAGAAAATGTTCTTATATTCAGTATAGCATTTTTACATATTCTGTTAGGTTTCAGTTATCTATAAACTTAACCAATAAACTGGGAGGAAACGCTTCTGAATTTTTTCCCTCAAAATATGAAATTTTATTTATAAATAAATAAGCTCTGATCAGATAGTATTTAGTGCTTTAATATTTTTGTCAGATTTCACTTTTGTGTTTTAGGAGAAACTTGACAAAGCTGTACCTTTGTATGAACTGGCTGTTGAAATCCGGCAGAAATCCTTTGGCCCAAAGCACCCTAGTGTAGCTACTGCCTTGGTGAACTTAGCTGTTCTCTATAGCCAAATGGTAAGTACTCACACTTTAACTCTTTATAAATGAATGGTTTTAAGATATGAAATAATAGGTTAACATGAATTAGGTGTGGCACAGTGAAAATAATTCAAGGGAATTTAAGATTGTCTCCTAATGCTTCCTTTAGTACTTGAGAAATTATTGAAGTTATACTTGTAACATAGTCCCTTCCCCTTACTGTAAAACATGAGCGAGTGTTTAGTTCATTGCACAGGCTTAGTTTTTTTAAATTCTGGAAACTCCCTACATCTTTGTATCTAGTATGTCTTTAAGCTGTGACATTTGCCTGTGATAGGTGAGAAACAGGTGTGGTAGCCACAGGACAATAAAGAACAGGTTTGTGCTTATATAGTTGGATTAAAGTCAGTGGTTACCAAGCCAGGTCTAAAACAGGCTTCTGGCCTTCTATTATAATGCTTTTCCTATTATGATTATTCACAAATTAATCCATTTATCTAGATCTCTAAGGGGGATGTTAACATTTTTAAAGTGCTTACCCAAGTTGGTCAGCTTAGTCTAGAATACGCTAATAGTAATATCAGAAACCTATTGTGTTTAAGTGAGTGTTGTTACTTTTTTTTAATAAGAGAAAACACATCGAAGCCTTGCCATTATATGAAAGAGCATTAAAGATTTACGAAGACAGCCTGGGTCATATGCATCCTCGAGTTGGAGAAACATTAAAAAATTTAGCTGTGCTTAGGTAAGAATTTTTTCACTTTCCTCATACAGCCAAACTCTGTTTGAGAACCTTTAATTTGACTTATCATGGAACATCAAAAAATACTTATTGTTAAATATGGTTTTTCTTGGAAAAGGGGTAGGGTTGTTTTTGGTGACCTATTTCGAGATATGGTAGTAGTATCTAGAAGCAAAATGAAGGCTGCACAATCTATTTAGTAAAGCATTATATTGTGACAAATAGTGAAGGATGGTTTATATTTGCAACCAACTGGCTCTGGGGTAATAGGGGCCATCTGCTGTCCTCAGAGCTAATTTACCATTAAATACATGTTGACTTTTGCTTTGTGTTTAACTCAGGATGCAGAGAATACCTACCTTCCCTTAGGAATTTTACTGTATCCATTATAACACGATATTAATGGTGTCCATATAGACACTGAAGTGTTCCTTAGCAGTACAAATAAAAAGGAAAAGAGTTTGGGTATTCCGTTTTTCTGGGCTGCCTGAGTGAATGCACTGAAAAAAATGAGCGATTTTTCACAAGTTGATTTTTTGTATCTTGTAAGGTTATTTAGAATTGTTAAGAGGTTATTTCTCATATTAAGAATCTTTTTCTTTCAAAGCTATGAAGAAGGGAATTTTGAAAAAGCTGCTGAACTATACAAAAGGGCGATGGAAATAAAAGAAGCAGAAACCTCACTTTTGGGTGGAAAAGCTCCTTCCAGACACTCATCAAGTGGAGACACATTTAGTTTAAAAACCCATTCTCCTAATGTTTTCCTTCATCAAGGACAAAGGTAGTAACAGCAGTTACAATTCATTACAATTGCACCTTAGGATACAATAATTAAGAAACACTTGGAACATTAGAATTTAAAACTTACAAAAAATGTTTTTAAGAAAATTTACTTTTGTGATTTAGCTGACATTTGTATGAAATCGTATTGGACTACACTGAGGTTCGAGCCATGATTATGTCAATGTCATTTAAAGGAATTAACTTCCCTATTGTATGGGATCCAAGGGTGTAAGCACATTAGAATCCTAAGATGACATGAATAGATTGGTCTCCGTTCAGCAAGAGCTGGCAGAGCAGTTAAGGAGGTCAAGACTTCCATGATTCTTTTCATCTCTCAAAACCTTCTTTAACCTCCCTGTTCCTTGTTTTGCTTTTGAACAGTAGTCTGGTCCAATTCTCTACCTCAAAGAAGTTTCAAGGAATACAGGGATGTTTATGAAAAGTATGAATTGTCTTCTATAAAATTAACTAGTAACAGTAATCTCTGATTGCTACATTTTATTCTACCTTTTCCTTGAGCAGAATGGGCCAAACCCTCTCTCCTTTCCATGCTCTCTACACAATATGTTGTTATACTATGTAGTATATGTTGACATAATATGAAGTTATTAATGCAGTAACAGGTCAAGCTCATTGGCATTCAAAATGGAGACATGACATATATTCTGATTTTTCTTAAATGTCCTAAATGTCTTCATTTATCTCAAACTCAAATTACTCTGTCATTTTATACTGAAAATTAAATATTTTGATTTTATAAATATTGCCGCATTTTGGATACTGTTTTGTACCATTTATGTATTAATATATAATAAAATCTTCAATTTTAATGCTTGTAAGAGTCCAACATGTATTAATTGTAAAGGTGAAAGATGTAATAACCATAATTCACTGTTTTAAAAGTACAATTTCAAGTTTTCTTTTTCCCACTCTATACAAGAGGATTAGATTTACATAATTAAGAAATAGGTTGAACATTACAAAAAAGACTTGAAAGTTGTCACTACTCATTAAGTAGTTTGCTCAAAGCTTTGGCGATTGTATAGGATTTGGATTAATGTTCTCTAAGGCCTGACTATTCACTGGGTGGTCCATGAACCACCATCTGGGAGCTTATTAAAAATTCAGACTTTGAGCCTCTCTTTAGACCTACTGAATCAGAATCTGCAATTTAGCTAGGTCCCCAGGTGATTTGGATAAGTTTGAGAAGCAATGGTCTAACTCTAAGGCACTAACATTGATGACGTAAAAGACATTTGAAGGATCTTATGAAAAGAACATCCTTTTTCTTCCTTTTGAGAGAAGTTTAAGAGGAAAAAAGATAAAATATGACCATAACACATATTTCTGGGTTTGCCAGCTGTGTAAGGCATAATTGAATTTAACAAATATACCAAACACTGATTTTAGAAGTAAACTATTAGAGTTGAAAATCTGACTATTTAGTAATCCATTATGAGTAATATAAGTTGAAATGCCTTAAAAAACTGCTTTAGGAAATCATCTGAGATCAATATACTAGAACACTGAAAAAAGAAAATTAGCAAAATAATACCCATTTATTCTTTGTTCCTACAAAATTGAGACTTGAAAACATACGAAAAGCAGAAACTTGTAAAATTAGTTTCAGGTTAATAATACTATTCAAGTATGTTATGGTAAAAACTCACTAATTTCACTTAGAGGATGATGACTATATTTCAAAAGATTTAAGTTTAAATATAATTTTAATTATTTTGACCTTACTACTTACACTAACAACTCAAGTGTTTTCATGTAGAATGCTTGCTTAAAAAGATAAAAATAGCTGGGACATTTATGTGTATTTGAGGTTCTCAAACAGGAATATTATGTGCACATTAATATACTCCTTCACAATGAGAAAGGTAGCTCTCGGACAACTCAATTACAAAACTGAACTGTCAGGATCCAAATTATGGTAGTTGTTATTTTTATTAATATTTATAAAAGTAAATATAAAAAAATGTGTCAGGGGGGTGTCAAAGCTCCTTTAATAAATATTCTTAAATGGTTATTGCCTTTTTGTGTTGGTCAGTGAGTTTGTAGGTATTCAGGGAGTATTTTTATGTGGAGAAACCCGTAATACAAACTTTCTTTACTACATAAACATTTGAGTAGTACTACAAATTTCCCATTAACGATGAGGGAAGAGATTATAAAGTTGCACATACTGTTTTACTAGAATTTAGAACCTTTCTGCGAAGGCAGTTTTAGGAGTGTTTCCATCTTTCACATTAGAAACAGTGTTTATAAATCTGGTCAAACACAATGGTTTTAGTAATGTAAAATTCAGTGATTAATTTTTCATAATCAGCTGCTTACATACACAAGTTTTCATGGGAATGAGACTATCAGGAGAGCACTCTAGGTTGCAAAATATACCTGTTACCAAATTTTTTTCAGCTAAAATAATCCAATAACTTTTTAATGAAAGACCAAAAAATTAAAATAACTTAGATTTGGTGTAGTATAAGATACCAGCAGTGTGCAGTACCAAGTTAAAGGCAGAGTAAGGTCTTTAGAAGATGGTGAGTACTAGCCATTATTCTTTATCAAAATACAAAATGTTTACCTTATGAGTAAAGTCTTGCCAAAGTGATGTGCCAGAGCTTCCAAAGGAGTGGGAGTTAGGAAGACTGCATTTCTTTTTTGAAATTCAAAACATCTCTAGTAACTAGAGAAGTTGTTTTATAGATGAATACACTAAATTTTTAAAATATGGCAAACCACCTACCAAGGCAAAATAAATAAGTTTCAAAGCTGGAAAAACTATCCCCATACTTTCCTGCCATTACTCTAAATATAAGAATCACAATATGATTCTAGAATCTCAAAACTAATACATTGAACTTATTTAGTATTTGAAGCTTTCTGAAATCAGTTTTTAGAACTTTATTTTACAAGTGATGAATGTACTTTTTAATTTTTTTCTAACATTTTGCCCCTAAAGATACAATTTAGACATTCATATCTCCAAAGCAAAAAATCATCAAAATAGATTAGCGTAACAACAGCCTACAGATAATGGTTACACATGCATATTCTTTCTTCCTCTCCAAACCGGTGGGAATTTTATTTCAACCAAGGCTCTCTAAGCCTTCATTATTTGTATGGAACTCCAGAGAAGATTAGTTTATCGATTTATGATTTAGTGGTCACGATCAGGGAAAAAATTATATTCTTCCAGTGAATAAATTCATGTCTGTCATTTCAGAAGCAGTTTAGGCATTCTTCATGCCCACTATCCAGGACAAACTCCTGCCAATATCTAATTACCTAGGGAATCAAATTTAAATAAAGTAGACAGAAAGTAGCCCATACGATGGGTAATCTGAATGATCTTAGCCTAAATTTATTTCTTGCTCCTCAATAAAGTACAGCGACTCCAGATATGTCCCACAGATGCAATGCTTGCTTCTCCTTGGTCAATGTGGAAATGTAATTTGTACTTCCTGACAGTACCTTTATCCACGAGGAAAGCTTTGTTTTATTTGCCTTTGTCTTATTTCAAATATATAATTCACTGGTTTACAAACTTTTCCAATGACTACATTTCAGTTTGTAATCAGGAAACATTTGAGAGGATATTTTTATTTGTTGGCCAAATTAGTAGTGGCAGTTTTCTTATAGAGAGCAATTATAAACACAATGAGTAGAAGCCTGCTAGCTCTAATCAACAGGTTGCACCTCTTGTTCTTTCTCTATATTTCAGGACCACGAACTGCTTCATTGTTCATGGCCTCAGGCGAGAGACCACAAAGAATTACTGGACAGAAAAGGAATATGTATAATATCAAATTGGTCCTTTCTTCCCACCCCTCCCACAAAAGCCAAACATTTCAATAGCTAAGTTTTCAATAAGATATATAACAACCTATAATAATCCTTTGAAATTTTCTTATAGAATGAAACATGAGTTTTAGCAGAGTTATTTAGTTGAGGGCTGGGGGAGCAACAAGCAACAGTATTTTCAAAAAGTATAACAATTCAGTGAAGATTACACATCAGTTGATGTTGCCTTAAGTTTTGTCAGTTTTAAAATGATTTTTTTTTCATTGCAAGGAATAGGCTTATACAGAAAATAAAATAGAGGCCAGTCCATTATCTACATATTCTTCATCTTAGCCATGAGGTCTTCCAAGCTTTCACTGGAATCTTCCACTGTTACCTCGGGTACAGAACCTTCTTGCTACCAACAAATGAGAGAGTACATAGTTAAAAAATAACCATAAAAAATTCTTGATGCTTAGGAATATATAATGAGTAAGCTTTAATCATGTTCAACAAATTTACAAAGTAAATTTTCTTTAATAAATGTGCCTTCTAATTTTTTTAAATTATTTATTTATTGCCTTCTAATTTTTAAGAGAGACTTAAGTTCTTTACTTTCCCCAACAGTCTTCAGATTTACAGGCAGTAATTTCAGTATTCTTGAGATATCTATTGAAGCAGTACTTTTAAATGGTATTGTGGCTAAAATTACTAGCATACAAAAATGATACTTTCATTTAATCAAAATCTACTTTACTTGATCCATTAATGAATAAACAAAACATTATGTCCATGTTTTCAAACAGTTTAAATGTGCTGTGCATATTTCTGTATTAGCACTGCATACCTCCGTCTTTCACACATCTTAATCTCTATAGTGTAAAATATCGAAAATAGGAAATACTGCTTTGACATTATGGAATGGGATGAAGATGAAAGAAGATAAACATTTTCTCATATTCACTTATGGTAAATCAGAATTTAGATATACCTTTTTGGGAATTGTATATGCCACTGTAATTCCTTCAGGTAAGTCAGGAACTGGACCTGAAGAATTTTTCAGTTCCTCTTCTGAAACCTCAGATACCAACTCAATACCTGTAGAGTTAAATTTGATCTTACAAAGTTTTTAAGGAACTTAATAAGCAATGATTATTCAAAATGTATATAATCAACTATAATTAGATTCCCTCCCATAAAAGTTTGTTTTATGCTGCCATTTCAGTTTATGAAAGAATTCCTACCCCACTCATTATCTTCATGTATTATCTCTTCCTCTTCTTGAACAACCTCCTGTTTGGGAAGTGCTACTACCTTTTTCTGTAGAAATCAAACAGAATTGAAGTGTTTTTACTCAGTTTTCTGAAGCATCGATTAAGAATTCAGGTAGGCTTTTTATCCTACTAAAAGCAAAAAAAACCCAGAATTTTCATTTTTGACGCATGGTGAATAAATTAAAAGTTTAAGGTTCCAGAATTGAATTATCTTGTATTCCAAATGCAAATGTTTCTTCTCTTTTAAATTATACCTATGCAATATGATCTCTCATACATTCTGGCAGATTGACATATACCTTATATTCTTCCTGTTGCTTCCTGCAATTTCGGTCATCACACTGAGGATTTGGCTTCATGGACATAGTAGGAAAAAAATCCTGCATTGCATTGTACCCAAGGTAAAAACTAACAGTACCAAAATTTAACAGAAACCTAGAAAAACAAATCATAGTACATTTAGATAAAGAAATAAAAAGAGAAGTATTAAAATAACTGGATTATTAAAAAATGATTTTGAAGTAGGTAATCATTTTTGTAACAAGCAAACCAGAAAACAAATTTTTTTATCTTGTTTACAGGACCTGTTTGGTTTTTTTTATCTTGTTTACAGGACCTGACTCAGTAGATATTTGTTGAATAACTACAAGGAAATATTACTCCATTTCATCAATAGAAATATTATTTTATGAATCTCTAATAAAGATAAAATGCTTCCAACTAAACTAATGTATGTCAACAACTTTAAGAAGCATACTGATTTTAGAGAAGTTAAAATGTGGAAGATGTATCTTAAAAATCCCCAAGGTATGGTAATAAATCTAATTTTTTAAGTTTTTATATATAACATAAAGTTTATGCTCTTAAATGTATAGCTCAATAAAATTTTACAAGTGTTCACCCATATAATCACTACAAGATCAAAATATAGAGCATTTCCAGTATGTCATTAAGCTCCCTGTGCTCCTTCCCAGTCAAATCTGATTCCTTTTAGAAGCTTATAGAGGGAAAATCATGTACATAAGGTAAACAACAAAAGAAAAAATATTTGCAAACATATGTTCTTAATATACAACAAGACAAGAAACTGAGCAAAGCATATGAGCAAACAATTCATAGAAAAATATGTGCTCAAATTACCCCAAATAACTGAAAATTAAGTGATACCCACCTTTTACCTATCATACTGACAAAGATTAAAGAATTTAATGATACCCAATGTTATCAAAGATGTAGGTAAAACAGGTACTCCTACACTGTGATGAAATGTACAATCCTTTTGAAAGAGAAATTTAGTAATATCTATCAAATATTGCATAAACCCAGAAATTCCACTCCTAAAAATTCACACTGTACAAAAATCTAGTGTACAAAGATATATGGCAAGATGTTGTTTGCAGCATTGTCAATATTAACAAAAACATCTATAAGTGGCCTAAATGTCCATCAATAGAGGGCTGGCTAAATACAACACATCTGTAAGAGAATACTTTATTGCCATAATTTCCCTCCCTTTTCGTATCCTACTATAAAATGTTTTGTTTAGATAGAGCCTACTGAAGTAAAGGCTATCTGCTCTTACATGAAACAGCTCTATACAGTTGCCTGAAGAGTTCTTATGTATGCTTTTTACAATTTCTTTGCTGGTAGTGGACATTTCTGATATCAGAGTGCCTTCCTATATCATGTTACAGTTTATTATTATATTGGAGACTTCAGAAACATAACTAAGCTTATTAAAGTATAAAATGAGAGAAAAATTGACCTGAACTGGGCAACACCTAATGGGATTCTGCTTTAAATAATGTGTGAGTTGGTTCAAAAACTCTTTGACATTAATCTTAGCTGCAAAGAAACCTTTGTCCTTTTTAGCTATAATTTAGATGGCGTTGTTTGTTGTTGGTTATCTGTTTCTGGGTAGCAGAGATAGTACTCTGGTTAATGTTTAATCACATTCATATTATTTTTAGTAAGAGTTAAATCAAGATAGTGGAAACAAGTGCATTTATGCCTAAGTCTCCAACCTAGTTAAACCTGTAGATTTATATCATTTAGTTAATGTGTCATACATAAGTACACCAGTACCATTTGTTTAACAAGAGCTATTCTAAATGCAGATAATAACACAAACATGTATGTGTATAATATGTGTAATATTAATTAATATACAATTGACCCTTGAACGACATGGGTTTGAACTGTGCCAGCTATCCATGTATACATGGGTTTTTTTCAAAAATATATAGTCGCTCCTCTGTATCCCTGAGAATCTGTGGATGCAGACAGCCAACTGTATGCACTGTTCTACACCATTTTATATAAGGGACTTGAGCATCTATTGGTTTTGGTATCTGCAGGGAGATGGAGGGTGGTCCTGGAACCAACCCCAAGTGGATACCAAGGGTCGACTTGTTAAGATTTTTGGAGAGTCAAAAGTTATATGTGGATTTTCAACCGCATAGGGGTTGGCACCCCAACTCCTGCAGTATTCAGGGGTCAACTGTACATTGAAATGAAATCTATTAAGATATATTTACATAAAAATAAAAAGTATATGTATACCATATACAACAAAATAAAAATATATATTTAAAACTAAATTTAAAAACTATAATACTTAGCTGATAATTCCAATATTTAAGATAATTCATGAAATATATTTATTTTTATCAAAAGGAAACAAGACTATTCAGAAAATTTAACCCTCACTCACTTTAACACATTTTGTACCAAGATCCCAGCAACCACTCCCATAGTGGTGGGAAGACTGGCTGCACAAACACCTTCTCGTTTCAGAGTCTTTTCATCAATATTTGCAGCAACTACAAGTGGTGGAGCACACTACATGAAAAAGAATAAAAGAAAATATATTTCAAAGAAAGGGAAAAAAAGTTTATGTCTCAAATAGTATTCCATCACATTCAAAGTTAGTTTTTTCTTTGAATTGTAATATATTTTCAATGCCCCTAGGAACTCCAGTAATTAACAGTGAAGAATAAGCCAAAATGAATTATGCATACCGCAAAACAAGCAGATTCTCCAGGAATTATAAGCTGTATATGCCCCGAAACTGCATTTTCACTGACCCCAGACTCCATCCATGTTTGTCCAAGTTCATTACAAGCCTTAGTAGAAATAGGTGAAAGAACATAAAAGAGCAAGAAATAATTTACTGTAACTTCTTTTTATAAAAAACTGGAGTTTAACTAAATTACCTTTTCTTTTTACCACGAGTTTTTAAAAATTAGCTTTCAGAATTAAAAAGTTGTAAATAATGGAATTCCTTGGCAATTGCCACTCTCCATCTAAAAAGTAAACTGACATGTAAGCAGTCAATAAATATCTATTTAATTAAATTTAACCATAGTTTATTGGATTTCTTATTAGGTTAATGTAGAACTTCATTTTTCTAAGATAATTTCAGCAACAAAAAAATGCAAAATGTCATTGAAGAGTTGAAAACAACTTAAAAAAGAAGTCAGTCTTATTTCTGAGAAAAAATGTTCATATGCAATTTGTGTGTATATTTACATTTACATAAAAATAAAGTAAAAAATGTTAAAACCAATGCTGACCAAGAATAAGTATTATAAGAGTATTACAAGACATTAATTTATTTTAAAAAGTTATACATAAGAAGTATCTGCTATTTTATAGTTTCCTCTATCATTGGCATAGAGAGAGTAGGATACTGAAACATATGCCACAAAAACAAGGCTAGACAGGTCCTGCAGCCATTGGGATACCTTTCGAAAGTAGGCTATGAGAACTAAAAGGGTTTAAATGCATAATTGTTTTTAGTATGGGGAATATATACTAATGGAATCTACAGAAAAATGGATAAATCCATGAGTATAACATTTTACACAATAGGAACACTCACTGTATTTATTGTCATCCGAGCTTCAAAATTGTCCACACAGCTAAGAACTAGGTCAACAGGTTTTCCCTCTTCTAATCCACCATTACTTGGCAAAGAAAATAAATTTTATTTGAAAAAAATCAGAACAAAAATACATTCTAATTAGACTTTATTTGTTCAGTCATGTTTATTCTTTCCATAAATGTTTAAGTATAATTGTGACATAGTAAGTATTTAATATTAAAGATCTAATATATATCAAGTATTGAGTAACCATTAAAAATAAACATCAATAATACTATAGTACTTATTACATAAGACATATAAGAATGCAAGAAGTATAAAGCCTGTTGACTAAAGTTACCATTTACCAATAACCTTTCACAGACTTTTATTCTTCTTTCACTAAAAATGTAATAAAAGTTAATACAATTCAATATTTCAGTTGTGTTAAAAGAGTCTACAGAATACCACTTTCAGATAGAAATATATTCTAGAACACAGAACTTATAATTGAGGATTCTTTGTTATACTATTATAATGAGGGGCTTTTTGTTTATTTTGTTGTTACTATTATTTTTTGGACAATATATACTTTTTACTGAGCTTCTAGTACATAAAAATTACACATGAAATTATTTTAAAAACAAAAATTATATCATTCTACCAACTCGCTAAATCAATCATCAGTACCTATTTTCTAATAATACTTTCTAATAATTTAACTGAGCTGGACATTAAGCAAAATATTCATAAACAAAATTTTACCTTATTCTGTCCATAAAATGTTGAAAGTTTTCTACTGTGGTTATATTATAGTTGTGTACTTCAAAAAGAACGTCAGGATTAATGTTCCTAAGAGGGAAATAGGGTGTGATTAAAAAACTACTAGTAGGTAATCAAAAGAGTTAGAAAGAAAAAGAACTGAAGATCACTTAACAGAGTAGAGAAATGGAATTCAGGCTAGTCAAAGAAAATCCAAAGTCCTCTTCTACCTTTTTTGTCCTATTTCAAAAACTAGGTTCAAAGACTAGGTACGAAACATGTAGATTGTCAGAAGGCTTACAGAAATGTTCCCACAATCTATATGCCGGGAATTAAGGCTTTAACATCTCTGTTAGCTCCAGCTCAGTCTGACAAATGAGCTTCTTTGTTCCTTACTCAATTCAATGCAAGTATGTTTGGGCCCACAAAGAAACTTCCTAGAGTTAAGGTTAGCCAGCTATGGCGCTTGGGCCAAAACTGACCTGCCACCTGTTTTTGTAAGGTCTGCAAGCTAAAAATGGTTGCATTAAAATATATACACATATATTTCATGACATGTGAAAAATATATGAAATTTTAATTTCAGAGTCCATAAATAAAATTTTATTGGAGCATAGCTATAGTCATTCATTTTTCTATTTTTCTCTATTGCCTATGGCTGCTATAACACTACAACTTTAGAGCTGAGCAGTTTCAACTGAGACCACATGGCCCTCGAAACTTAAAATATTTACTGTTTAGCCCTATGCAGAAAAAGGCTGCCAACCCAGATCCAAGAGGAAGAGAATTCTTATATAACTGAAATTTGCATTTTTGTAAGAGAAAAATTTAGATCCCTTTACTCATACCAAATACACAAAGTAAGATTTCACTAAATATGGTTATAATTGCTATTCCATTTACCTCAGCGTATGTTCTGCTGCTTTAACTTTACTTAATCCTGCTTGATGAGGTTGGAAGAAAAGTCTATTCATATTTGCCAGTTCCACCTTGTCATAGTCAAAGAGTAGCAACTAAAATGAAAATAATGGTATTCTGATGAAAAACATACCAAAAAAACAAACAAAAAACAACAAAAGAATAAACTAGTGGGCTTTACATTTGATCTGTTTAACAGCTTGACAGTAATAATATTACCGAATTCTGGAATACTAGGTGCCATATATTAACTCGTTTAGTGTTCATATGAGATAAGTACATAGATACTACTACCCTCCTTTTAAAAACGATAGAAATAGGGCACTTGCCCAAAAGCCACTCAGCTAATATGTAGTGGAAATGGGATTCGAATTCAGGCATTCTCAGTCCAGCATCTGTACTCTAATCACAATGCTGTACTGCCTCTAAATGATTCGCTGAGATAATGTTCATTCCATGTCATACCAATTTTTAAAAATTCTGCCAAAATCCTACTTGATTCCAATTTTTTGCTGAGTCAAGAACCCATTAGAAAAATTAAAATCTTAAATCAGATAAACACAAATGCTATAACTTAAAAACTATAGTGTAGCTTGACTCCATTTGTGAATATGATACTATATACATATACATATATATATAATAATGGCTAAAACATTATTCCAAATAGAATTAGTAACCAATCTGTAAATTATTGTCTTCTGCTATATATTTAGGCATGACAGTGTTTGTCAAACACATATACACAAACACACACACACAATTTTAAAATGACTAAAAGATCCCATTTCTTATCAGTAAGAACAGGTTGGACCCAAGGATTTCCAAGGTCCCTTCCTTGATCTAAAATTCTGTCTGTGTAATACAATTCTCAGTAACTATATTTAACAATAAAAATAAAAATGAGATTTTCTTCTCAATAAACTAAAAAAATTAACCCATCCTATAAAAAAAACACTTAGGTAACCCTTACTTTCTTGCTTGGAAAACTATCACTTATGCCTCTTATAATAATTTTCTAACCTTAGAGTGTCCAAAATATGGTTTACTTAAGCTCATTCAACAATATTTGTTAGATCAGGCCAAGTTTTAAGTTTGAGTGTTGGCCTCACAGCTGGTTTATTAAGTTGCAGGAAATCCTAAATTTGGGAACAGGAGGTGTGAGTTGTACTCTGCCACTAATTACCTCTGATCTTGGGTAAGTCACTTTCATTTTTGGGGTCTGTATCTTCATCTGTAAAATAAAGCGGCTAATCTAGGTCTGGTAATCCAGGGTGCCCTGGGGATTCCAGAAACTTTCAGGGATAAGAAGTGGGCTCTGGGTCTCCAATTCTCCACTTCCCTACTTAACCCCAAGAATTAGCTACTTGTTTATCTGTTTTACAAATTGAAGAAAGAGTTCTGAAACTTACCTATGTAGATCCCTAGCTTACAACCTTGAGTGTACACTGCAATCACTTGGGGAGTTTTAAAAAAATACAGATGTCTGGGTCCCATCTCCAGAGATTCTGATTAACCTATTATGAGGTACAGTCTGGACATGAGATTTTTTTTTTTTAATTCTGCCTAGGTAATTCTAATTACAGCAGTATTTGATAATCACTGTTCTAGATCCTTGCTACTCAAAATGTGGCCTGGGCTAGCAACATCAGAATCACCTAGGAACTCGTTAGAAATTAAAATTCTTAGGTCCGCCTGAAACCTACAGAATCGAAACCACTGGGGTAGGTCTGGCAATCTGTTTCCAAGTGATTCTGATGCACACTTGAACCTGAGAAGCACACATCTCCAGGATCTCTACTACCCTTGGTCAGTCCACCAGGGTACTTACATCGGCTATAAGCAATTGCTGGCTGGCTTTTGTAAACCTCTTTAAAACTTGAAAATGTTAATAAACATTTTGTCTTTTTGCATTCTTTCCTATATTAATAGAGTGCCAACTTTGAAATTACTTTCTTCTAAGAATTTGGGGCATGGAACGGGGCATTTTAAGAATTTGGGGCATTGATAAACTATGGGAAAATGTGTGCTGTGTCAAAATGACAAATTAAAGGGCATATAATTAGGTACAGTTTATGTATTCAACCACTTTAGCTTTATAAATCTAAGATCGGCAGATTGATTTCTGGTATAAGGTTACTTATTTCTACCCACAATCTAAACCAATTTTAGAAAAAAGTAAAAAAAGTATGGGTTTAAAAAAATCTAGAGCATTCTCCAGTTCAGTTTCACTTAAGCCCAAATTGTTTATATATTACTCAAACAAAAAAAGTTCCTGAACACAATTGGGTAGTCCTTGTTTAATTAACAATATCAGCTTCCATTCAGATGAGGTTATGTCTTAAGCCCTTCGGGTAGAACAATCTGAATAAATATACCACAAATCAATAACCATTAGTAATGAGAAATAAAAATCCTTATACCTGATTTACCCCAGAAGTGAGTAGTTCCCTATATGATAGGCAAAGGGAAATGTTTTTACCTTACCAATGCCACATCTTGTCAGCATTTCAGCAGTTACACTACCAACTCCACCAACACCTACTATTGCTACAGCAAAGGTACGGATTTTCTGTGAAATGCAAAATTATACGTCTTGATTAATAACTCTTCATCAAAAATGTCATCAGAAATTATTTTCATTTACTGAAATCATCTTCAAAAACTTGGAAAAGTTTATCATACCTCATAGTCGCTGACAATTCCCATGCGTTTCAATGCCATCAGGCGGCTTAAAACAAAGAAAAAAATGTTTAAAGCTAACAATCTTTTAATAGTGACATAGGTAAACCTACATCATAGAAAATAAACACCAAAACTCAATCACTACTAATCCTTTCAAAGAAGAGAAATCTTTCCGCGGGATTTACCAGATGAAACTAAATTACCAGGGCAGCTTTGAAAACACTGATGCCTGAAAACCCTCCCAGGTGCAGAACACACAAGATTTTTTTTAATTGGAAATAATTTTTCCTCAAAATTTCTAAGATACAGTTCAAGCGTCTTTTAGCTTCTGAAATTTTATGTGCCTTTGCGTGAATCTATTGTCATCCATTGTGCTGGGTACTTGATGTACCCTTTCAATTTGGAAACACATTTTTCAGTTCTGGGAAATCTTGAAGAATTTGATGATTTCCTTGTTTAGTTTATTTTTCCTGGAACATCCTTCTGGAACTCCTATTATTTGGAAGTTGGACCACTTGGACTAGTGTTCTACTCTTATTTTCTTTCTCCTATTTTTCATGTTTTTAGTTTTCTGCTCTAGTCTCCAGATGTCTTTCGATTTTATTTTCCAACTTTTCTATTGAGATTTTCATTTTTGTTATTCTCCATTTTCAAGAATTCTTTTAAGTCATCTGAATGATTTGTGTGTGTGTGTGTGTGGCACCTTGTTTCATTTCATTTCCAAGATATCATCTCTCACCTGGGGATATGGATAATGTTGAGGATGTGTTCCCCTTTCATAATCTGTTTAAGTTACTATTTTTACTGTGTTTCTTTCATGTTAAGAGCTTCTCTCATTCTTTGTTCTGCTTATATTTAAGAGCCAGACACTAATAAAGGCAAGGATAGGCAATGCTTGTTTGAATTTGGGCTTCACTGTAGTGCGTTCTGGCCAGACTCTTTAGTTGTAACCCATAATGTCACTGTCTTTCAGTCTTTCTTCTTGGCTTGATTAGATTCCCTAAAGAATCTTTCACTTTCCAGCCTGAAAGGTGTTTGTGGCTCTCAGTTTTGGGATGTTAAATGGAAGAGCAAGGCTGGGAGTCCTAGCATTCAGTATGTAAACATTAGTTAAGCCCCTTACTTCAAATACAAATACCTGTTTCAATTAATAGAAATCATCTCTTTCACTCTCACCAATGAGTAAATCTCTAGTCTTCTCTCCTGGTAGGCAAGAGACATTAGCATTAGCTCAGCTACAAAAAGTGGTGTAGGAAACCTAGGCTGTATCTTCAACAGATTTTCAACCACATCTCTTTTAGCCCTACCTTAAGCTCTTCTAGAAGTATCTGCCTTTCCTGAGCCTTTGGGGAATTCTGTGGTATAAAGTGGGTTGGAGGCTTAAGAGTCAACTTTTTTGGATCATTAAATCAGTTATCAGTCACTCATCCCTTTTCTAGTTTCTAAAATTGTGTTACTATAATCTTCAAGTACAGGGACCCACCCATCCCAATTATTAATAGAAACCCTATATTTTTTCAGTAGGGATTTATTCCTTTTTAAAAATTTCTTTATTGTCACTTTAATAGAAATGGGTAGACAGTGATAATAAATACCTTTGATCAATATGCCATGTGCACTTTGATGCTTTCTTTAATCTTTCTAAATAACCCTAAGAAGAACATATTGCAACCCCCTTTTACAAATTTGAAAAAAGATTCAGGTTAATTAACTTTTTCGAAAATCAGCTAAATGGCAAACAAATATTCAGAGCTGGGTTTTTAAGCTAATATTTGAAACCAGGTTTTCTAATGTTAAATCCTCTACTCCCCTCTCCATTTCCTCCACATGTTTATAATTAGTCTATATCACATAATTTTACAGTTACTTGTGTTCTTCGATCATTATTCCACAACCATTGAGTCTCCCAAACTAAAGCAAATGGTCTTTGGGGGTCAGAGTCTTTCTATTTCTTTTGTATCGCTTGATGCAATTAAAATGATTTGAACACCTACAAACCTTTCTATTTTTCAATAACCCTGTACTTTATCATAATTCTTAATGTCTGTATTGCAATCCCATGTTTACCTTTCTATCTAACGCTGATCTGGTGATCTCTAGAGGGAAATGGCAATATCTACTTTGTATCCCCAGTGTCTATGCATAAGAAATATTCAATAAATGGTAAATAATACCATCTAGGAGGGCTGGAGATGAAAAGGTGCTCACCAAATATTTACTGAATGAACAACAATCCAAACAAATTAAGGCTTAACTTTATCAATTTTCCATGTACTAGTGAGGAGCTTTGGGTGACAACTGCCATTTCCTATGTAGCAAAAGATAAAGGGTGCAAATAAGATAGAAAATACTAAATGTTTATATTTGAGTTCTGAAAGTTTGTGATTATTAAATGTCAAAGGATCATCTCACATTAAGTGATTCACATCTCACATTTAGGTGATTCTAAATATGATCCACACTCCTTTTTATTCTTAGATGAAAATTTTCAAATTTTTCATTTGTAAAATTACGAAATGTTTAAGGATGCAAATGGAATAGTTTCCACTTCTGACTAAAGATGTCAGTTCATGCTTATTCAAACTCTAAAGATTTTGGATTAATCCTTCATATTTGGCAATACAGTTAAAATACATGCACCTCTGTCAATTATATCATAATAAAATTGAAGGAAAAAAAAAGAATTAAGACAACTTGCTAACCTATTAGATTTGATGAAGGAAAAGCAAGCATCTGGCATGATTTCATTTGATTTGGGTTAATATGAACTCTAATTACAGAACAATTAGCATTTTGTCTGGTGTTTCTATTATAAATAATATAATTAACATCTTTGTACCTAAATAGTGGTCTGAATTTTAGGGTTTAAAAAAAAAAAAAAAATACATGCACCCTAAGACTTACTCAGAGGCTTTATATATGTCACAAATAAAACATTTTTTAAAAATCCAAACTCTTCTGCTCTTTAAAGAGAAAGAGCAACAATAACATCTTTCCTGTTTCACCTACTTTAAAACTATCCAATTTTTTAGCCATACTACTTAGTGGCTTATTTTTTACTGGGGAGACAGTTCCATGTGAACTCTGGGATAAAACAAACCTAATGCCAGTCCAGGCCTTATTATATACTACTTGCTCTATGACCTGAGCCAAGTCATAGCAGCTTGTTAAGCCTCAATTTTCTCACCTATAAAATGGGGGTAAAATAATAGTGGCTATCTGCTAGGGTTGTGGTGAGGAGGAAAACACATGAGTGAGGGTGCATGAAAAGTGCTTAGCAGGTAAAGCAAGCTCAGTTAATGTTAGTATCTGCACTGAGCAATAAAGTCTTGTACAAAGCTTAGCACGTACAAGCGCTAATCTAAGAATTTTACATACACTGATGTTTTCAGTCCTCACAACTCTGACAGCTATCACTATTATGCCTATTTTACAAGTGAGAAATTTAAGCAGATAGGTTTAGAACTCGCCAAAGGCTGCTCAACTACTAAGAGTTGGGATCTGAATCCAGTCTGACTCTAGAGTCCTTACCCTTAACCACTGCACTATATTCAGCCTGGATTATGAAACCTTGGGAAACGAAAAAAGGTGGGGACAGAACTGCTAAAGTCAAATGGCTTTAGAGCTAATCCAGCTCTCTCACCACGCCCCAACTCAAGAAACATTGAGAAGACTTTATGAAACTGGAAGTTAATGCTTAGCGGGTTTTACATCCGATGTCATCTTCTGAAAGTTGTCACTATCAGTTTTAGGCAGAGCAAGGTAGACTGAGACAGATGCGGTAGGAAACTGGATACATGTCCTCAGGAGGCACAGGAGCAGCACCATATGGCTGATTCACTTGGATTTTTTTTAAAAAGAAGAAAAAACACCTTTTGACCAGTATTAAGACGTGGCGTTTCCCATTTGGGAAAAGGACAACCAGAACAAGAAAGGAAATATGGGAGCCCCGGGAACTGGATGGGAGAGGAATGCCTCACTCGACCATACGGGAACCGGGACCTCATCCCCCTCACCAGCCTCCGATCCATGACGCAGGTCACCTGTAGGGATTGGAGTCCACTACCTCCGGGCTCATCTTCTCGATTCGGGCCCGGCCGCCTCCCCCGTCGCCGTCTCCCAGGGCTCGCCGATTTCTCTCTTGGGCCAATTCTCGCTCCAGTTCCTCAACCCGCTGCTGCAGCCGCTCCACAGACTCGGCCATGGCTGGGTCCCCGGCCGCCAATGCTTTCAGCCCCAGCCGTCGCCGTCGCCGCCGCCGCCGTCTCACGCTGCCAGGTCTACTGAGCCCGTGAGGGGTATATAAGGAAGCACCTGCTTGGTGGCTTTCCTAGCCCAGACCCTGGGGAAGTGCTCCCAGAGCCTCACAGATGGACACGTCTCCACCACAACTACGGACCTCTCACTGAACCATTTCCGGTTGCAGTCATCGCTCCCCCTCAGAAAACATCCGCTCCTTTTAGTTTCCTTTTTCGCCGGGTCCTAAGAGACCAGGCGTCAGCAAGGCCGACGTCCTAAGCGTCCAAGGCCAGCAAGCAGCCTACGATGTCGCCTTTCCAACCCGGAGGCTAGTTAAAACACCAGGATCTTTTTTTCCTGGGCTCGAGTTCCTGACGGTCCCTTTTCTGAACAGAACTTTATAGGCCTTCCGCCTGCCGGTGCATTAAATTTGGAGGTGGAAAGGCCTCTGCGTTATTTGTCCGTAGCTTAACTTGTGTGTGATTGGCTGGAGTGAGCCCCGCCCCTGGCCTCTCACTCCGGCTGTAAAGTAGCTTTCCTTAAGAAAGAAGTGTCTGTGGATTTGAGGTCTCTGCGGTTTTCGGCGCTAGTCATGGAGACCCGTGCCTCCAGCGAACCCGAAGTGATGGAGGTGCTGCCCCAGCATAAGTTCGACTGCAGATCCCTGGAGGCCTACCTAAACCAGCACTTACCCGGCTTTACAGCCGCGCCCGAGGCCAAGCTGACGGTGGCCCAGTATAGGTATTGACGCCGACCTTCTCCAGCAAAAACAAATCTGTGCATCGTGCTTTTTCCCCCTTACTTTGGCCTTGGGTGGGTTACTAATTCACCCCACCACAGTTTCTTTTCATATAATTACGCACTCTGCTGGCGGGAGCATTCTATTCTGGTTATTAACTAGAGGACTGTGGTGGAAGCGACAACAGTCACGATTCCAGCTGTGAGAAGGAATCTTTTGTTAAAGGATGCAATTATGTACCTTAAAGATTCACTGATGCTATTAAGGTTGAAAGCTCTGTGGGATATAAAAAGACTTTATCTCAACTTTTGTCCTACGAGCGCTAGATTTTTTTTTTTTTTTCCTGAGAAGCAGATGTAATTCCATTATAATTGGCTGTATTCTTGAAGGTGCTTAATGGTAGCAGCAGGGGGATCCGAATTCTAATTCTAATTCACAGCACCCCTTTGGCCTTTAGTTCTTTTTGAAGTGAGAGAATAGAACTGGATGACAGTCCTGAAAGTGCTGTTTTATAATAGAAAATATATTTTAAAATAAACTTTTAAAAATAGTAGTTTTATAAAAATAAAAAAAAAAAGAGTTTCGGAAACAGTCTTGGCTTCCACAAAATTAGATCTGCCACTTACTGACAGGGAATTTAAATATGTTACATAACTTCTGATAGTTTTGTAATCTGTGATAAGTACCTGCCAGTTCTGAGTAATTCTGGCAAGTAAATGAAATAATAGAAATGAAAGGCCTTAAACATTACAACAGAACACATACTTGTGGCATTTATCAGTGGCATTTACAGGGTCTTTAGACTTTAGACTTTCCCAAGTGCAGTGAGTTCTTGCAACTGGTTATATCCCTTGCTAGGACCCTAAAAGCTGTGCCCAGAGGACTGCTACCAGAGATAATGACTCCTGTGGAGCATGAGGCTTCTAAGCCAGGGTGACACCCATATTCACCCATTGTGGTTTCATTTCTTCAAACCTGAGCTGTCACCAAAGGAACACAGGAGTCATACAGTAAATCCTAGTCTGATGAATGGATTACTATGTGGACTCCACTGAGGAAAGTCATCTATGCTGCCATCCTGGCATACTGTGTTTCCTGTCTTCGTATGCTTTAAATGAACCAATGCCCAGAGTGGCCTGTTGGGGTCTTGTGAGATTGACGGTATAGTCAAAGCCTTCTCTGACCAAGTGAGTGTTCCTTACCACACGTATACATGCAAAAATTTCATCTTTGTTAATTAAGGTTGGACAAAAGTGCCACCTCTTTGGTTATAGGTTAATACATTTCTTTCAGCACCAAATGCCCAAGTCCTAAACAAAGCATTCCTTTCTGGCTTATTGATGATTCTTATCATACTGATACCGTCAGTGGGTTCCAGACTATATGGAGACCTAATGCTTGGCATGGTTAAATTTAGCTGGTACTGTGATGTGTTGGTGAACATATCTTCTCAAGATAGGCTTTTTTTAAGTCTTTCTTAGAACCTTGGTAGATACTTAATCAGAGGAAAGCTTCAAGTTTGGAGGAGAGTTTGTTTTTGTTATTGTTTGTGTGTATGTGTTTTGTTTTTTCGAAATAAAAGTCATGTCACATAAAATTCAGAATTTTAACTATTTAAATGTATTTAGTGGGTTTTAAAAATTATATTCACAAAGTCGTACAACTGTTACCACTATCTAATTCCAGAGCATTTTCATCAACACCCCCCCCCAAAAAAAACTTGCCTTCCAATTATCCCCTCTTCCCATCCACCAGCAGCTACAAATCTACCTTCCGTTGCTATGGATTTATATATTCTGGATGTTTCATAGAAATGGAATTATATACTACGTGGCCTTTTGTGAGTGGCTTTTTTCACTTAACATAATGTTTTCAGAGTCCAACCACATTGTAGCATGTATCAGAACTTCATTCCTTTCTGGCTGAGTAATATCCCACTGTATGGCTGTATCACATTTTGTTTATTCATTCATTTGTTGATGGATATTTTGGCAGTTTCTACTTCTTGGCTGTTGTGAATAGTGCTGCTGTGAACATTCTTATACAAGTTTTTGTGTGAACGTGATTTTAGTTTTCTTAGATATATACCTAGGAGTGGAATTGCTGGGTCATACGATTACTCATATGGTAACTTCAATGAGAAGCTTTTAGTTTTCCGATTATATTTCACCTGGGTCATTTACCATCATGAATGGCCAGTACTTCATATATGACTGCATCATCAAAAAAGCATCCAACGACACGTTAGGCATAAAAAAAGTTTTTGTTGTTTTTTGGTAGGGAAAAATGGCGTAGATGATAGAGGCTTTGTTCATCCCTCTTGCAACTAAATCAAAGTTGTGACAGAAACAAAGAGCAAACAGCAAAGAAAGTTGCCTGGGATCTAGATGAACAGAAGCATTACAACTAGGAGAGAAATAATTAATCAGCCTGCAATGGTAGAAGGTAGGACGGGGTGAAGACGCAAGGCTGCCTGGTCTTGAGCAACTGAGTGGGACAGAGGCTACGGCAGAGGCAGCAAGCAGCTGCAGACACCGGTCTTATTAGAGTGAACTTTTATGGTGATGGACCTGCTCACTCTGAGCACCAGCACTGGGTAGGCTGCATGAGGATCACTAGGGACTTACAGGAGGACACTGAGTGAGGGCCGGAGTCGAGGCTTTTTCCCAGGCAGAAGTGCCCGAGGTATCCATTGCTCCTCTGTTAAGCCTCCCACCTTCCAGCATGCAGACTCTGTGCCACCATAGCTGAGACGTCATCAAACTGGGTAACAGAGGTCACTCAGCCCAGAGGATTCCCTGAAACTCTACCTCTCCCAAATCACAACCCCACCCAAGCCACTTGCAGTTGTGCCCTCAGCGAGTCAGGTGCTCCTTGCTAAGCAGCGCCAAGACTCACACTGGTGGCAACTGGGCTCGGTTTTTGGTGTGGTTTCTTGAGGCAACTATAAGCACAGCATCTGCGGATTTCTTGCTGAATCTTAACGGGTGGCCCCAGAAAGGTCACAGGATGGGGCTAAACTTGACCTGCAGCTGAACCCGTCTCAGGATTGTGCCGCTGGACACCTACTACACAAAGCTACTCTAATAAGACTTAGGAGCTTTGCTTTTACACAGAAACAGACAAAGAAAGGTGGCCAAAATGGGAAGACAAAGAAGCAGAAACCATATGAGAGAACAGAATAGAGATCCAGGAATAATGAAGTCAAGAAATCTAATAGATGCAGAGTTCAAAACACTGGTTATAAGGATGCTCAATGAACTTAGGGGAAGTATAGATGAATTCAGTGAGAACTTTAACAAAGAGATTTAAAAAAACGTAAAAATGGAAATGGATATTATAAAAGAGAAACCAGTCAGAAATGAACACCTTATCTGAGATGGAGTATATTAGAGGGAATCAACAGAGTGGATGAAGAATAGGATCGAACCAATATAGAGGATAGAGAAGCCAAGAACACTCAGTCAGAATGGCAAGAAAAAAGAAGCCAAGACTATAATAATAATTTAAGGAGTGTCGGAAGCCAGCCGACCAAGTCAAACCGGGTACCTGAATGGGGGAGCGGGGACTGAGAAAAAAGAGAAGACAGACAGGGTGCAGGAGGGAGAACAGATTTCACAACTGTCTCTCCGAGTTTATTTCTTATCCTTCTTTTTATACATAATCTGTTCCTTTTGGTATCCCAAGATAACATAATTAAAGTAACATCCTGAAGATCAAGGTACAATCGACACTTCCTTTGACACTCACTTTGACAC